AGCCAATCCAGGTCCCTCTGCAGAGCAAAAAGGGTTGCCAGGTACTCACTTTGAGTCCACACACAGCCAGGTAGTCCTCCTTGCAGGGGTTTCCAGTGAGGCTGAGGACAGTGAAGGGAACGGGGGCGGACGCAAGGCGAGTGAGGGTCAGTTTTCTCTTGCTGGAGTCAGCTTGTTTCAGCAGTGCTGAGAGCTGAAGGACTGTGATCTGCACAACGAGATGAACTCATTATCCACCTTTATAACTGAGGGGAATATTCATTTCAATTCCATTCCAGCTCTAGGACTGTGTCTCCACAGTTACAGAATCACAGTCACACAATCATCAAGGTTGGAAGAGACCTTTAAGATCACTGAGTTTAACTGTTAACCCACCAACACCATAATCACCCTGGAACCATATCCCCAAGGGCCACACCAGACTTGAACACTTCCACTTGACTCTACAACCTCCCTGGGCGACTAATTCCCAATGCCTAACCATCTTTTCAGGGAAAATGTTTTTCTAATATCTAATCTGAACCTCCCATGGTCCAACTTAAGGCCATTTCCTCTCATCCTTTCACTTAGAATCATGGAGGTTGGAAGAGACCTTTAAGAACATCAAGTCCAACCGTTAACCTGTCACTAAACTATAAACCATATCTTCCAGCACCAGGTCCTGATGCTTCAAACACTTCTAGGGATGGTTACTCCACCACCTCATAGTATGTTAAGAGGTTGGAATGGACCTTAGAGATGATCTGGTCCCAACCTTCCACCCTGAGCCTTCCTAGGAAGCCTATTCCACTTGAGACACAGCAGAAGAGACCAACCCCTACCTCACTCCAACCTCTTTTCAGGGAGTTTAGTGAAGTTGGTAGTGGCAGTGAGTTGTTTCAGGTGGTTTGTTCTCACTGTCCTTGCTTCAAGAACTCTTTTCCCTGCAGAACAAGAAGTTTCTCTACGCTACGCAACGCTACAGAGCCGATGCAGCTCTCAAGCCAGGCAGAACAGACCCCAGTGTGCTTGTTGCTCAGTGCTGCTCCATTTTCCTTCCCTGCAGGCAGAGCTCACCTTGCCCTTCTCGTGGCTGACAGCCAGGTGCTGCCTCCGGCCGTGGGGGGAGGAGAGCACACACATGGCCACGCGGCGCAGCACGTGGGCACTGATCAGCTGCCGGATGGTCTGGCCCTGGTCACCGCTGTAGTTCATGCGCACGTTCTCAAAGGCACCTTCCTGAGAGCCAAGAGTTGGGACCTGAACCAGGGAAAACAACACAAGCACATCACTGGAATGGTTCTGATGGAAGTGAATCCCTCCAGCCATGGTCTATTCATTCCTTGTGTTCCATACCATCAGCTGGTCTGTCATCTCTACTGACTTGTCCAAGGTATGGAGCTCGTTGAGAGCTTGCTGGGCACGGCTGCTGCTCCCCATGGCTGAAGCTTGCTGGAAGTTGATCTGGATGGCATCCATCAGGAAATTCAGCATCTCCAGCACCAGAGGTGCAAAGGAAAAGTTGGCCTACAAGTAAGAAATAAAGCAAGTGAGGTATAAGATGCTCCTGCTGGGAGTCTTACCAAGAGCTGCACATGGACCACTTTTAAAGCCTGACACCCCTTTCATGACCCCTCTGATCATGAAAATTACAGAATCAAGGTTAGAGGAGACCTCTAGGATCATTAAGTCTAACCACTGCTGCAAATCAAGCAACTTGGCTGATTAACCAACCCAAATCTGACCCAGACCTCATCATACACCACCTTTAATGGCATGCTGATAATTCTACCTGGGACTGCAGTTCCTCTCGACAGCCCTCAACATTTCTGCACAGACTGCTCTTCTTGGGTTTTTCTTCATCAGGGCCCTTCCCTTCACTGATGGTGACCTTGGCTTTCTCAGCAGGAGAGGTGCTGGCGTGGCGAATGACGCTCTCAGGCACTCTGGGCTCACTCTGGAAGGCTGATTCTTTCATGGTAGAGCTCATTCCACTGCTGGGAGTTCTCTTCACCAAAGCCTGGGAATGACAGAGTAATGCTAAAAGCCCAAACCAGTCTCAATTAGATGAAATGAATAGAGATTGTAACAGCAGCAAGACTAATGCCATTTTAAAGACATACAATGCAGTTCCCTTAGAGCTTCCCCTTTCCTTCTCAAGAAATAACACAATATCCTGCATGTCTTGGAAAAGACCTCCAAGATCATCCAGTCCAACCCTACTGTGGTCACTAGACCATGGCACTAAGTGCCACATCCAGTCTCAGCTTGAAAACCTCCAGGCATGGTGAATCTACCACCTCCCTGGGCAGCACATTCCAATGCCTGAGCACACCCTCCAGAAAAAGTCTCTTCCTAATATCCAACATAAACCTCTCCCGGCAGAGCTTGAGTCTGTGCCCTCTTGTCCTGCTGCTGGTTGCCTGGGAGAAGAGACTAACCCCCACCTGACTCCAACCTCCTGTCAGGGAGTTGCAGAGGGTGAGAAGGTCTCCCCTGAGCCTCCTCTTCTCCAGGCTGAACACCCCCAGCTCCCTCAGCCTCTCCTCATGCCACTTGTGCTCCAGTCCCTTCCCCAGCCTCGTTGCTCTGCTCTGGACCTGCTCCAGCCCCTCAATGTCCCTCCTGAGCTGAGGGGCCCAGAACTGAGCACAGTATTAACAAACTTTCATATTTAAGATGCAGTTATTTTGTTGACTGCTAGTGGAAAACATGGGAAAAGGTTGTATCTGACTGCTGTGTAGCAAGTTCTGTAAAGGCAGGTGGAATCCCAGGAGTCACTAGGACAGAGATTTGGCAATGCTTTTATTTGGTGCAAAAAAATAAGCATTCAGGTCAGCTGTAAATTCTGAGTGTTCATTGTAAAGCCAAAGCTTTAAAGTCTTAGTGCTCTTGCACACTCAGAGAATCATAGTATGTTAAGGGGTTGGAATGGAGCTTAGAGATGATCCAGCCCCAACCCTCTGCCCTGGGCAGGGACACCTCCCACCAGAGCAGGTTGCTCAAGGCTTTAGCCAACCTGGCTGTGAACACTGCCAGGGTTGGGGCAGCCACAGCCTCCCTGGGCAAACTGTGCCAGTGTCTCACCACCCTCACAGGGAAAAACTCATATCCTGACCTAACTTATTGCAGAAGAGACAACTGCAAAAGACTTTAAACACTGAAGCCATGAGGACACTTTACCAGGCAGCTGCCATCCTCCTTGGCTCCACAGTCACAGAAGAATGATCCATACTTGGCATAGGAAATCTCATGATCCTTGTGACAAACTTTAGCACAAACTGTGCAAACACCAACGCCATCAACCATCTTGCAAGTGTGACAGTGGTACCTGCACAACAGAAACCAGGTGAGCTATGAAATGCAGTGCCTCAAGGACCTCAAATTGCATTTGTTTCCTTCTAGTTGCCAGAAAAAAAAAAAATCAGACAAACTCTGAACAGGAGCTTGAGATTCTTACCAATGTTGATTCATGAATTCTTTCTGTGTGATGGTGAAGGTACAGAGTTTATTGCAGAGAGAATCTTCATCCTATCAAGAAGAAAACTGTGTTAGGAAGGTGTTTTAACTGCAGCTACACTAAAGTACATGGTACCGAGTAAATTCCTCAGGCATTGAATGAGCATTTTAAGGACAGCAAGTTTTGGCACCACTGAGCTAGAAGGCAGCAGCTGGTATCAAACCACACAAGAGACACATCATAGTAACATGAAAAGGTCAACAAGAAAAAGAGTAAGAAGGAAAAGAAACAGTAACCAAAATATTGGGACAATAACTTTTAAACACTACATTGTAACAGCTTTTTTCCCTCCACTCAACAGCACTTAAAAGCCTAACTCAAGTTGCTGCTGATATAGACTCGTAACTGACTAACAAAACCAGTAGGAATGAACCCATCTCACTTCACTTCTTCATTTTTTGTTAAAAAAATGAATATTTAACTTCTGTTGACATCACAAAGTGAACAGATCTAGGCATGAATGACATAGTCTCTTCCAGACCTGACTTGTTTTCTTCCCTCAGCCTCACATTAGGAATAAACAAAATCTTCACCTATAACCCAAGGAATGCTGATTTGGAAGTTGCAAAATAAACCTTCAGCCTACCGAATCCTCAGCCTGAGAGTCCTCCTCCTCCACTGCTAACTCTTCCACCCAGTCTGAGTCCACCTCGATGGCTCGTTCCTCCCCGTCCACAGACAGGTGACTGGGACCTTGGCCACTGCTCTGGCTCAGGGCATTGGTGACATCAGCCAGGTAGGACACAATGTGGCATGTACACTCCAGGATAGTCACATGCTGTAAAGGAGAGATCAGAAAAAATGAGAGGTAATACTCAGAGCTCATAAGAGCAGGAAAATACAACACACCCCTGACCAAATTGCTTTAGAACTCCCACTATGAACCCAAACCAGGAGAGCTGACACAGCTCATGCATGAGATTTATTCCTGCAAGTTCAGCACTAAGACATGTCTTACCTTCCCCTGCATGACATTGGCATTCATTTTCTCTACCACATTCTTCTGAGACAGGTATTTCTTGCTGTAACAAAAAACAGTGCAGATCATTATAGAATCATGGAATCCCAGACTGGGTTGGAAGGACCTTAAAGTTGATCCCATTCCACCCCTGCCATGGGCAGGGACATCTTCCACCAGCCCAGGTTGCTCCAAGCCCTGTCCAGCCTGGCCTGGAACACTCCCAGGGATGGAGCAGCCACAGCCTCCCATTATAGCTAACAGCCTTTGGGAAGTACAAACTCAGCCCTGACCAACAGCTTCAAGCACTCAGGGAATGTATGAATGCAGTAACTAAACCATCCAGAGTGGGGGGAAACAAAAAACGACAACACAAGGTTGTTTTCAATGTGGGGATACAGATCAGCCTTTCCCAGACACCTGATATTCCAAACAACAAACAATAAGCTAAAAATAAGAGTCAAACACAAACTTCTGTCCCCATATTTTTAAAAAAAAACACCCCACAAAAACGCAACCAAACCTCAACAAAATCAGTCTAAGTGATACAAATGAATGATCAGCAATATAAAATTTACTCTTACCATCTGCCCAGCCAATCCACAGCAGCACCATGAAGCTGGAGGTGTCCTGCACCTTGTCCTGCACTGGCCAAAGTTGCCATCACGACCATCAGCTCAGGAAAGCCTGTGCCATCACCATTGGCCAACATCTCTGTTGCCATTGGTATCAGAGTACTCAGCAGGACAGTGCACACACCTTCTCCCACTTGGCTAAGCAAAGAGAAGAGAGTTTCAGACAGGTACAACACAGGTAAGTCCCACAGCTGGGGAGCACCGCCACAGCAATGCCCTCAGGGCACAGCCATGCCCTCACCACTTCATTCCAGAGCTGACAACAAGGAGTCATCAGCAGCTCACACCTCATTTACACCTCCAGAGAACAAAGGAAATGCACAGCACACAAAAGACACCAAGGGCTGGGATTTACCTGTTTTCCCTAACGATGTAAGTAGTCAGGAGCTGCAGCAGTTGCCTGTTCTCCTGCACAACGTCCAGCTGGTCTGAATCCTTGGGTGGGGACATGGTCATCCTGGTGAGCCAGGCCTGGAGCCTGACAGGCTCCACACAAGCCAGTTGAGCCAAGGAGCCACAGAGCCGCAGCAGGCTGGGGTTGGGACTCTTCTCAGCTGGTGGGGAAAGTTATGTGAGTGACAGATGCTACAATGAATGGGTTTAAAAATGGTTCTTTTTTCAAGTGTGAAGCTGTCACTCCACTCCCTCCTACAGCTCTTCTTCCAAGCCTGTCACAGTCTAACAAGTCTAACGTGGACAAAGGCAGGACAGAAGAGATCCAACCATCACTTACTGAGCTGGAAGAGCTTGGTGAAGAATTTCAGCACTCTGTTACAGAACTTGGCCGAGAGGTTCTCGTTGGCTGTGGCCATCATGATCTGCACCAGTTCTCCACTACATGGAAGGGGAAATAAATTAGCTTTGTAAAAGACAACCCATTCCCTTTTCCCACTTGCTTCACTTCTATCTGCACTCACGTTTCAGACTGGCAATAGTTTGTACTAACAGTGCTCAGCAGCCAAAGCCACAGAAACTGCTTTGAGCCAAACAGCAAACTCTTAGCTCAGACTAACACTTGGACAGCTCACAAGCAGCTCATTATTCTCCACACAGCAAGTTAAAAAGGGCCTGAACTGGTTTCCAAATCAAAAGTCAGGATTTTCTTGCCTGTTTTTCGTTTCCATGTTAGCAAAGTACAGCCACCACACTGCTTCCATCTTGAACTGTTGAACAATCACCCTCACATTTAGAACATCACTGTTGTGCTGTGATGATCCTATCACAATTTGTCTTCATAGCCATAAGTCAGCCACCACCTCACCTACACCTCTAAAATTACCAACCTATTGCCTCAAGGAAGCACTGCGAGAACTTGGGATTTTGCAGCTTGGTCACTGCCTCATGGACCAGCATCTCTCAAAACTCTCCCTTGACAAAACAATCATGTCCAACGTTACCAAGTCCAACCCTACTGTGGTCACTAGACCATGGCACTAAGTGCCACATCCAGTCTCAGCTGGAAAACCCTCCAGGGATGGTGAATCCACCACCTCCCTGGGCAGCACATTCCAATGCCTGAGCACACCCTCCAGAAAAAATCTCTTCCTAATATCCAACCTAACCCTCCCCTGGCAGAGCTTGAGTCTGTGCCCTCTTGTCCTGCTGCTGGTTGCCTGGGAGAAGAGACCAACCCCCACCTGACTCCAACCTCCTGTCAGAGAGTTGCAGAGGGTGAGAAGGTCTCCCCTGAGCCTCCTCTTCTCCAGGCTGAACATCCCCAGCTCCCTCAGCCTCTCCTCATGGCCCTTGTGCTCCAGTCCCTTCCCCAGCCTCGTTGCTCTGCTCTGGACCTGCTCCAGCACCTCAATGTCCCTCCTGACCTGAGGGGCCCAGAACTGAGCACAGGATTCAAGGTGTGACCTCACCAATGCTGAGTGCAAGGGAAGAATCACTTCCCTGGCCCTGCTGACCACAGGTTGACCCTGGTCCTCTCCCCACAGAGTCTTTTCCACACTCTCCTGCACTGCCTGAAGGATACTCTGTCTTTACATAGGTCTGTGTTTCCATGTGCAATGGCCTTAACATCACTTTGGTGTCTATAGTGATAAGTCAACAGAAAAAGGCTAAGAACAGAAGTTCTTGGGCTACAACTTCCAGGGAGACTTCACCTTTCTGAAAAGAATTCCTCCATGGCTTTCCTGGCCTGGCTGCTCTCCAGCTGTTTCTCCAGATGCTGCAAACATTCCTCCAAGATGGACTCATCCAGGCCACTGAGATCAAGAGAGGAATATATAAGGATCAAACAAGAATAGATTAAGGGCAATTTCAACAACTCTGAGAGCCAAGTGATCAATTTTACTAATAGAACTCCAATAAACTTCCCACCAATTGAAAGCAGCTTTTCTTCATGAAACAGGAGAAAAACAACAGCTGAACAACCCTACAGAAATACCAATAAATCCACCAAACATTCAGGAAAAACCCAGAACAACGCAGACCCTTCAGATATCTCACACCCCATCTGCTATAAACAGCTGCTCTTTTTACACTCCCCTAGTTTTACTCCTCTCCATTCTCTCCTGTGCTCATTCCCACTCCACAACACTCTGCAAGCAAAATCCAATTACATTTGTATTCTGTAGGAGCTCAGTAGATCTCCCTTTGACCCCTCATCCAGAGAGGATCAGTGTTAAAAGATGCAGCATCATCATGCCTAAAGGTTTTATGTTTCAGATGGGTAGAATCAACATCTGCACGGGAAGCTTATGCTCTCTGTAGACACAGGAAGGGTTGGGAAGCCCAAATCTGGATAGTTAGCTGTGATAAAGCAGGGATTAACCATCCCTTCACACAACAATGTCAGAGGAATACAGAGCCAGTTTGTCTGATATCTTCAGTTTTGGTTTTTGTGCTTTTATCTAAAAAAGTATCCAGGTATCCACATGCTTCACCCAGAGCTACAGAAGAGGATAAAATACCCCCTTGCCTGAATGGCAGTGCTGAGAATTCTGGTATTGTGAATAAGACAACTTGTACTTTTACAAGTACAGAAGTCTTCAAAAGAGAAAAATAAGCTTATTTTTTGCCTTTCTGTTGTGCTGTTCAGGAACCAAAACCGATGTTTCAACAGTCTGTAGCAATTCTTTGTATATAGTTTTGTTGGGAGGAGAAGGACAATCCACACAGCTCCTTACCTGTTTGGATCAGAGTGATGGGCCAGGATGTTATAGCATCCTGTGATCAACTTCTCATACACACGTGCCAGGAACTCATCTGACTCTGCAGGGCCCAAGATCCTCTCCAGGGAGTTGCTACTGATTTCTGCCACACTCTCTGTGCTGGTCTCCAGGAGGAGAGGCAGCAAGGAATGAATCACCTGGGGTGGGTTCAGATCATCTGACCAGCTTGAAAAGGAAAGGAAACAAGTTAATTCTCTGCATGATGTATCAGAGAACGTCCTGATTGAAAATCAGAAGTCACACAAGTGAGGCACAAATCTGGATGAAATTCAATGGTAAAACCCTTTGCAGAAGATGGAATAAATACACTAGCCAAGCTTCAGAAAAACAGTCCTTGTTTGGAAAATTCTCCATGTTAATTTTGCATACATATTTTCCTACACAGTCCCACTATCCAATGGTGTGGCTTTTGGGCTTGTCTGCAGGGTCAAGAACTATTACAGAATCATAGAATCAACCAGGTTGGAAAAGACCTCAAAGATTATGAAGTCCAACCCTACTGTGGTTATTAGACCATGGCACTACAGTGTCACATCCAGTCTCACCTTGAATACCTCCAGTGATGGTGAATCCACCACCTCCCTGGGCAGCACATTCCAATGCCTGATTACACTAACTAGGCTTTGATTTCAGAGAATCTTAGACTAAGTCCCTGAAAAACATTTTTCTCCTTTCACTTCTTCCTTATGCTTTGAAAACATCACACAAGTGAATTATAACAAAACACAAAGGAATCAATCAGATCCATACTGTCTCGTTTATATCCTAGTTTCTTCAAGTCCATATTTGACTAAAAGGATTGAAGGTTTCCCTCTGGGAACCTGAGTTTTGGAGACATCAGATGATGTTCAGCCTGGAGAAGAGAAGACTGTGTGGAGACCTCAGAGCAACTTTTCAGTATCTGAAGGGGCTACAAGGAGCTGCAGAGGGACTCTGTGTTAGGAACTGCAGTGACAGGACAAGGGGCAATGGGTTCAAACTGAAGGACAGAAAATCTAGGTTGGATGTGAGGAGAAGGTGTTTTACTCTAAGGGTGGTGAGACACTGTCCCAGGTTGCCCAGGGAGGCTGTGGCTGCCCCAACCCTGGCAGTGTTCACAGCCAGGTTGGCTGAAGCCTTGAGCAACCTGCTCTGGTGGGAGGTGTCCCTGCCCAGGGCAGGGGGTTGGCACTGGATGATCTCTAAGCTCCATTCCAACCCTTAAATCCTACAATTCTACAAAGACAGACTGTTAGAATTCATTTAGAATTTAAAACTGTAAACTGCAAGTAACTCTACCAAAGCTTTAGCTCAAACAAGTTCCACCTAAACCGATGAAGGGAGACAATGAGACCAGCACATAAACCCACACAGCAAGGTGTGTAATGCAGGATGTGACACAGACCCATCACTTACACGATGAGGTCCCCGGTGAGCCTGACCAGGGACAGCAGGGTGTGTTTGAGGGAGGCTGCCAGAGGCAGAGTTTGGCTGCAGAGGGTGCCGAGGTGTGCGGCCTGCACGGCGCTGATGTAGCTCTCAGCGGGGATGGTGTCGTTGGCGAAGGCATTGCGCTGGGGGAGGACACACACCCACATCAGAGCCACCCCCTGTACCCCCACCACACTGCCCACAGCCCCAGCAGCTCATGGAGCTAAACATCACACCAGTGTTTTTCACTCCATGTGCTGAACTCACCCACGAGCCAATGTTTGGGAACTCATTGGTATGGATGTTGTTCCATGACTCACATAGAGTCTGCACAGCTGAGGGCAAGTTCTGAACCAGTGTTGGACCTGCAGTTAACAGAGAATCATGAGGTACTGAATCCATTCCTGGGGCCTGTTGAGATCAGCAATGTTTCTCCAGGACAGGGAGGAATGGGGATAAACAGAAGCTGGGGAAATTTAGATTAGATATTAGGAGGTTTTTTTAAGGTGAGGGTGGTGAGACACTGTCCCAGGTTGCCCAGGGAGGCTGTGGGTGCCCCAACCCTGGCAGTGTTCACAGCCAGGTTGGCTAAAGCCTTGAGCAACCTGCTCTGGTGGGAGGTGTCCCTGCCCAGGGCAGGGGGTTGGGGCTGGATGACCTCCAAGCTCCATTCCAACCCCTTAACATACTATCATACTATGAACACCTTTTAAACCAGATCATTATTTAAGACACAACTGTAGCTAAGCTGTAATTCTGCTGAGTCAACATCATCCCTAAGTTTGCAAGAGCTTCCCAGCTGCTTTCACTTTATTAAAACAGAAACATGGCAGAAACAATAATTCATGGCAGTGAATACTTAATTCCCTTACTATGCCATGTCACCAGCTCCAATACAGTTATAAAAACATTTAAAACATCCAAATAAGCACACAAGACACTTATTCTTTCAAGCTTTGCTCAGCTCTTCCAGTTTTTAGGATACTAAAGGAAGAGACTTCCCTGTCTGCTGCTGACAGGATAACTCAGTCATTTGGACAGTGGTGGAGACCACAGCCAGCACACAGCTTTGAAACTGAATGTTGGCAGCACTGTAGAAAGCTTCACCTGCACAGAGAAGGCAAGGTGAACTCTCCAGCACCCTCACCTAGAGTGTTGGACTTGCTCCGGCTGGACCCAATGGCCAGGACAGCAGCATAGCCTCGGAGCTTCTCCTCAGAGGGTTTGTTCTCTGCAGAGCCCTCTTCAGAGAGGCTCCTCAGCAAGTAGGATCTGCATTCAGGATAGAAAGGATTGATTTCAGCAATTAGCTCTGCATTTCAGAACTGTGTGTCAATACAGCACCAGACAAAACATCAAACTTCTGAAGTTCTGCCCCACACTTCAGCTGGTACCACTGAGGGACTTCTGGGCTTTGATCCCTCTAAGATACTTACCAGGAGTGCCCACCCCAAAGCAAAAAATTATTTACTTTTGCTTTCGTTTACACAGGTTCTAACAAGAGTTTAAAAGGCTTCAGACTCCTAATGTAAGAATTAATCTCTCTCCTTCCTGGATGGTCTAACAGCCTCAATATTCTTCAAATATCCCTGTGAGTGGTGAGAGGAGGTTTCATTTTTGGAGGAAAAACTCGTTGTGCAAGGAAGCCTTGGAAGATCAAAGAGGCAACTCTGAAACACCTTCCCATGCATGGCTGGAGAAGCTACTTCTTAATTCTTTTTAAATCATGGTAACACTAGGGGACATAAGGTAATCACTCTGGACTATAAACCCCTCAAGCTACCTCTAGTTGTTTTCTACATCTAAGAAAACAACACACACAACACAGAGCAAGGCCAATGCCCAGCAAGAAATTGTATCCAAGGACTGTACCTGGTAAATGTAGCATAAGTGTCAATGAGCTGCAGAGTAGCAGGCAGGAGGTTCTTGGTTATCTCTGAGGACTTGTGGGGATCAGTTTCTGCAGCTAACTTGGAAAAGTGCTCGTCTAGGGAAACCTGAATCTTGGAAATTGCAGCATCAAGGGTGTAAATGGATTGTAAACTGGGAACTTCGTGCAGCTGGAGAATAGTTGTGCAGTCGACCCCACAGAAAGAAGATATCTGAAAGCACAAAGGGATGGAAGAGGAAGTGTAAATCACTTCACAGAAGCAGAAGCTCCACGTGGCCAGACATTCCCAGCACCTCACCTGGCGAGCAAAGTATTCCTCTGCTATTTCCACATCATACTTCACTGAGATGCACTTGCTGGAGGTCAGTTCGATGAGAGGAGCAGCATGTTCAGCTTTCATGCCCTGCTTGATAAGGTGATCCTGCCAAAAACCAGACCCAACACAATTTAGCAGTGCTCTATAATTACCCACTCTGCCAATTACCAGACTACAACACTTTAGAAACCACAGACAACTCCCATTTCTGCCCACTGTGGCCACAGAACAAACCCCACATGGAAGAGCAAGAGACTGACACAATTCCACCCTGTGAGATGAGGCCTCACCTTGATCCACATGACATATGATGGGATCTGCAGCCGTGATGACCAGCGCAGTGTGTGCAGGAGGTCACATTCACTCATCTCTGGGGTGTTCATGGCCAGGTGGTGCATGTAGCTTTTGGAGGGAGGTAAAATCCCCAGGATCCTCCAGAGGATCAAGAAGTAGTACTGAAGGGCACAGGCTTCCTAAACACAGGGACAGATGGACAAATTAGGAAAGAAAGATTGAAGTTTCCATCAATACAGCTACTAAAGTATCTTATCAGGGACTTCAGGCTCCTGCAGATGTGTGGAACACACACTGGGCTGAGATTTTGTCATATTACACAACAAAATAAGTAACAGAGAAGCGAGAAAAGAAAATTATTAACAATTTTTATACCGATATTATTATCTATAAACATACTTTTTTTATCCTGCTTAATCATGTTCTAGCCAAACCTCTTGGAATCACAAGGGACATACAAAAAGTCTAAAACATACCATGAATTAAAAACCCAAGAGATGTGCAGCCACCATAAACATTACAACTATGGCATTCTTAGCTCCCCATTCATCCAATCACTGTTCAAAATACTAAGTTTGAAAGCTCAACAAAGAGAACATTACAGCCAGAGTCTTACCAGTGCAGTGACATTTTTGTTCTCCCTCCTCCTGAGTGTATCAAACTGTGACCCAGCTGCAAGCAGTGAAGTGAGGGCTGCATAAAGCTCATCATACTTTGTGGCCCTGGAGAAAAGGACCTCACAAACCTGCAGGAGATGACAAGTCAGGATCTTTGCTCTGCAAATTGCACAGCTCTCTCTTTATACACAGCCAAGCTCTTACTCTGAAGTAGTCACAATACCCACAGCCCCAAACTATGCAAAATAACTTCAGGAAGTGAGTGCTGTTGGGTGTTTCTCTCCCCAGTTGGATAATCAATGAACTGGTGACAAAGAGCAGACCAAGCCCATAAAACCCTGATGGCCACAAATTTAGTGAGGAAACAACACCCAGGAAGAATATGGAGGAAAGTGATGGGAAAACAACTCTAATGCCATAGGTCTTTGTCTCAGGTGTTTCAAAAGTACTGGAGAGTTAAGTAGGGATAGGGCAGAGCTCTCTGGCACAGCACTGAATCCCAAGCATTACCCCAAGTAGTCCAACACATCCTCACAGACTTTGCCCAGACTTCCCTGACAGGCAACTATACATCCCATATTATCTTATCCAGCCACTCTTCTCCACTTGGCAAAATTCCTTCAGGTCTCTTTGTTCAATCAAGGCTTTCCTTCTTGTCTCTTTTCCCTGGCTCTTGGCAAATGCACTTGGCCCTGTGCACACTTAGAGAAAGGTCTCTAAAGCAGCAGTGCCCATACCGTGCTGTCCAGGCGGTTCAGATCATCCTCAGAAGCTTCTAGAGACAGGATGCAGTAGAACCTGGGCTGGGGAGCTGAGTCTGGAACGTGAGAACAGAAAACAACATTCCAAATGACTGTTTAATTAGCCAGCAGTGTGTTAGAGTCTCTCCTCCAGCCCCACAACCTCCCACATTTTGAATACAACCAGATTCCTCTAAGCTCCACGACACATTATATGTACTCTAAGCTGTGGGATATACAGCCAAAGTTTTCCTACTCCTGGGACAAGAAGTAGATGGGAATTAGTTGTAGCAAACGTCTAGATGACAGTAATTTTCTTTAGTAAGACTTTTCTTGCATTGCCAGATACATTTTTAACTACTGTGACTATGCCTATTTTAAGTAGGAGAAGTGATCCACAGGAAGGGCTCACATTGAATTCCAAAAGCAAACCTTAGGATAAAAAAACTCCTTGCACTCTTTCTCACCTGATGAACAGTGTTTGGTCCAGTTTTCTTCCACTTCCTTAAAGCCATGATAAAGTGGGACAGATGTTCTTCTGCTGCTGTCCTGGGACCCACTCACCCAGCCAATGGGAGGAGTCAGCAGGTTGTATTGCACCTGAATTCAAAAACCAAACCAAAATCACCCATGGAATCCTTGTCACTGAGGGGTAGGGGAGAAATTCCATCCCACAGGAAAAGAACCACAAAACAGAAACAAACCCTGTTTAGGACACAACTTCCCACACTTCTGAGGGAAGCCCTAGAGCCTCCCTGATGGTTTTTACTCTAGAGTGAGCAGATTAAATCCATGGCTGACCTTCCCACAACTGGAAAACCAGGCACAAACAAAGCACCAGCATCCCAGTGAGAACACTCAAAAACCTTAACAGTGAAAGGTTAAACCAAGGGTGTGGTACACAAGTGCCTGAATACCCAAACACTCAAGATTTTAAAGATACAGCAGGACAACCATCCTGTCCTTACCAGGATTTATCAGGACACTAGTTATACCAGGAATATAAACTTCAGCTGAACCCACTGCTAGAAATCAGCAATGACGACAAATCATGTATTGTAACTGCAAAGGCAGATAACAACATCAGAACTGATCTGCTCTCCAAGGTCATGGAATAATAGTCAACTGGGTTGGAAAAGACCACCAAG